AAATTATATATTATAATTTTTAGATAATTTTAAAAAACTAAAAAATCTCTATTGTTAAACGTCAATATTCTTGACGTTTAACAATATTACCACGTTTAAAATTAATAAACGCGATTTATGAATTTCATAAATTGTATCATGATAAAAATGCATTTGATTGTAGTTCCCATAGAAGCGGCAGTATTTTTAAAGGAACATTTAAATAATTGGTATTCTTTGAGATCTTATTATAGTGTAAAAATAATAACGGATCTCGTGATGCAAGTATGTTCAATACAGCATTATAACTTTGTTACTAATTATATCAGGTTAAACTAAATATGATTATTGTTTTTAAATAAAAATAAAGAATCGTCTATTTTGTAGATACTTTGTACATCAGCCTTCGTGTTTATATCATATTATATGACAGGACAGCCAATGGAATATGATAGAATTCTAAAGACGTGGAGCATTTGTCTGTTAATTATGATGCTTGGACAAACAATCGGGATAATTGCAGGCACAACGTTTGGTACTGAGGTATTTCAACGGTGTATCTTTTATTATTTTAAGTAGAAATTAATCGAGAAATAATGTTCAATAAATAAGTAAAAAAAATCATATTAACGCGGATTTTGATGCCTAATGTTATTTTTGTGAATTTAATTTAACTTGTAATATATTCCAACTTCAGTTTACGATTGTATTTCAAGACCAACAAATAATCGACGCGCAGTTTGTTTGAACTGGAAATTGTGAAATTTGCACTAAAATATTATTATATAAATACTAAAATTCTTTTTAAACTAAATATGGCCTTTTTTCCTTATTTGTATTACATTATTTTAAAATTAATATTAAAAACAATTAACAAGAAAAAAGCTATAATAGTTTAACATATTATAACATATTATATAGGAAAGACGACTGTAATTATTTATAAGAGTCATTTATAATTTAAATAAAAATTAAATTTTCCAATTCTTTGATCAGCTTACGCTATTCAAATTTCAATTCAATTCTTTCTTATAGTTAGTATGAAAATATAGAAAACTAAACGTAATTTCTTTCAGTTAGGTATGTTTTTAATATCGGCAACTCATATACCATTATTACTCTTCGCTGGATTTTTTACAAAAATAGAAGAAATGTCACCATATTTGCAGCCTTTATGTGTTATAAGCTATTTCAGGTATAATTTTATAACGCTGCGATTATTAATTAAAAACTTGTAGCATTTAATTTTATTATCTCTTAGATATAATGTTTTTCATCTTGTCTTTTTTTTTATTTAGAACGGCTATTTATTGAAAGTTGTCTCTACAAAAATATGCTTTTGTTGTACATCTACTTTATTTTATTTTTTTAATTAAAAAAATTTATATTTTATTGTAGATATGCATTTGAAGGGATAATGCAAGCGATCTATCTTGACCGACCGAAACTGAAGTGCTTGGAAATTTACTGTCACTTACGTTCACCAAGCAAGATTCTCTCAATGACGGACATGCCAACAGTACCGTTTTATGTAATTCCAATAATACTTAGCTCTTGGATACTCTGTTTACACGCGGTCCACTATATAGTACTTCATTGGAAAATTTATTATGCAAAAAAATAACGAGTAAAATTAATATTCTCAAAAAGTAAACGAGTAAAATTAATATTCTCAAGATATCTCAAATAAAAAAATTACTTATTGAACAAATTCTATCTGCAATATAGTATATCAAGAGAATTTCAAGAGAAATAATGGAATTAAGAGTAAACAGTTTTGTAAATTGTTTATACACAATAATAACAATGTAAAATGTGTGAATTTTATAATTTCTGCTTTGAGCAAACTACACGTTGATAACTGATTATGATAACAGTAAGAATTTGCCTTTTTTAAAAATAAATTAGGTTTGATTAAATAGTGTGAGTGAAAGTTGTGTAATTAAGACCCGATTGCATCGTTACTTTGACTTTAAGTGAGGCTTAAAACTCTCACTTTCTCTCTTTAAAGTCGAGATGCAGAAAAAGATAGAATTTAAAGTATCATTTAAAGTCAAAGCAAGTTGGAGTGATTCACCTTCGAGGAGATGCTATTAGTGCTATTTGTGCCATTCCTTATTTTACATCTAATGAATGATAAAGATAGAATAATATAAATAGCACTAATAATATGTCTCCCCAAATTCATGCACAGTGAGAGTAGAAGCACTATGTGTTTTTGATGTTTTAAGTTAGCAATAAATTAAGAAGGCAAGGTGCTAACTATAAATAAACCAGATTGGTAGAAGGATGTAGAAATGAAGAAAGTGTGGAAGAAGTAAAATATATATAAAGTATAGAAAGATAAAATAAATATTAAAAAAGATCGGTAGTATTAGAGGTTTAAATCTCGAAAATCGCGGAGAGACATATATAAGACGAGTAAGAAAATTAATTGTAGTAAAAAAAGAAAGAGTTAAGAAAGCTATGCGAAAAAGAAAAAAAAATTAAACAAAAAGAATAGAAAATAGAAAAATAATGCAACAAGGCCGAATTTTAGTATTAAAGGATGCGAAATTTAAAATCGCGAAAGAGATAGAAATATATATAATAGGTAATAGATAAGAAAATAACACTTAAAAGAAAGAAATATAAAGAGAGTAGAAATGAGATATAATAGGTATAAATAAAAATTAGAAGCTGATGAAATTGAGGGAAAAGGATTAAGATTTTTAAGGAAAGAAAATTTGGAATAAAAAGAGATAATGGAGAGATAAGTAGAGATATATTATAAATAAAGATAGAAATAACGAGAAAATATATATATATATATCAAAATTAATACGTTAGGTATTATATTTAGAAAATAGCCAACATAAAAAAATGGATGTGAGGATAAGATAAAAAAATGTGAATCAAATTCCCTTTTTAGCTTATAATTAAAAGATAATAAAGATTCTATTTTGCATAATATAATATAAATTAAATGTAAGATATCTTAAAATATCTGAAAATACAAATGAATGATCAATGTGTTAATTTAGCAAAGTTGAGAATGTTGAATAATTCAAAATTTCTATTTATCTTCGTACATAAATGACATAGAGACTTCGTTCCGTAATTCTCTGCAAAAGTCTATAGTTCATGTTATTACTTGAATCTATCGAATATACTATAGATTTTCAGGATTCATAATAAATAACGGAATTAAAAAATACAAATTACTTTTTAGACTAAAAGAATAAACAAATTAATTACAAATTAATTTTTTGTATCTTAAATTTAGTCGGAAATAATACCTAAGCGGAGAAAACTAAATTTATTTATATTTCTTTTTCTGAATAAATTTATACATTCTGCTTTTAGTTTGTTTGATGATACAAATTTCCTGCTTTCCTTTCAATATAATATGTTTTTAAAAAGAAAAGAAATAATTTGCGTTGTATAAGTTTATACATTCAAAAGAGGACTTCAAAATAACTAAAAAAATGTTATAGACTCAATTTATACATTATCCTATATTCCTCATGTATTTATTCATGAATAGTATATGTAGGTGCGTATGCCATTAATACAGAATACATTAGTGCAGAGTTTCAGTGATTTTGATTACGTCGAAGATTGATTGTTTTCCGTCTGGTGCGCCATCATGTTAAACTGGTTGTCATATTGTTCTTCTGAATATTGTGAAGGATCGTATTCGTATTGATTTTGATCGTGCTCCATCATGTAAGTTTCCATATTTGAATCATTCACTGGATATTCTTCGTTATTTTGTAAGTCTACTTGCTGCTGATACATCTCTGCGGTTTCCATATTCGATGCAAAGTTATTTTGCATCAAGTTGCCTTGCATCTGATCGTTTCTCTTGGACGCGTCAGAATATATTTCTGACTCCTCGTCCACTATTTTTTGATCGCTCGCGGTATCGTATCCTTGATGTACCATTTGCGACGTTTGAGCACTCGATCCATTTGTATGTGGCGAGACTATTGAATCCATCGTAGCGTTATAATGAAAAGCTCCAGTACCATCGTTAGTTTCCATAGTAATTCCTTCTGGAAAGTAATCCTTGTTACTCAACATTCGTATGTACGTTTAAATTATAGATTTAAGAATTAAATAAAAATTAATACCTGCGTGACTTACAAGGCTGCCTTGTATTTTACTTGACAAGTTTTCTATGTTGCTTTGTAAGTCGGCCATTTCTTCCCTGTGATAAATGAGTAAATAATTTAACAGATATGAGGTTAAAAGTTAAATTTGACTATTAGCGGAAAATCAGTGTCACATCGAGCATAATAATATAATTGTTATTTGCATTAGGACACTCTCGCTATTACTGTGCTGATAGAGATGTTTTGGAGGTGTCAGACTTCTTTTTTGGAATTACTTTTACTTTTAGATCAACCTTAACGGTACGTTTCTTGCTCGAAGGCGAAGCAGTTTGCCCAACCGTTGTCACATCTCTTTCAACGACCCCCTCTGTCAACACAGAATAGCCCTAGATATATATAATGAGAAGTGGTGCATTCTTATCTATACTAATATTCATAATATAATAAATTCGTTCGCGTTCAATAACGAGTGTTAATATACTCTAATAAATTAAGCATTTCTTCAGATATATGACTAATCGAGAAACAACTAAACTAAGGAAACGTCTGATAGCCTGAAGCTACGTGCGTTATATCTTTTCATTCAGTTTCCGCAAGTCGGACTAAGAATATACTTGTGTTTAAGATTGTTAGCTTCCAAACGCTGTGTGAGAGATTGGCATTCGGTGGTCAATCTCGAGACGAGCTTGGCCTGATTACTCAGGGCGTCTTCTAGGCCCGCCACCGTGGCAGCTGCGAAATTTGGTTGCCTTGGTCAGCCTGTTAGCTATGTTAATTGACTTAAATCTCAATCTCCGCCTATGCTAGGCATATATAGTGTCAGGCATGCCGATTTCTCACACATATAAGGACAGTACTCTTAAGTCAAAATCATTGTCAACAAATAACACTTTTTACGGACAATATACCTAACATAGGCATACCTAGGACGATATCTTACCATGTTTAGTCTCCATGTCCATTATCATAGACGTTAATTCCTTCTCGTTTTCCAATCTAGGCGTAATTTCGCTACGATTTTCTTCAGATCGTACAATTTTACTCATACTGATCTGAAAAGGTATAAAAGATTTTATTTTATAACACTGCACATTTTGCTGAAATTCAATAATTATTTAATTTGTTAATTATCCAAAAGTTTCCGCGATTTAAATCTTCCGTACTGGAGTTAATTTAATATTGTACTGTTAAATATCAAAAATCAGCAGTGTTATGTTGTGAAAGAGTCTATCATGTATTAGTCCAAAGTATCACATCATTATTCAGAAACTTTTTGTCTATAATTTGGCAATTTTGAGATAAAAATGATGTTGAAAAAAAAATGATGTTGAAAAAACGTAAATATGCCAAATTTTATTTCTTTTTTAGTAAATCTAACGTGTTCGGTTGTCATAATGCTTAAGGAAATTTTTGAAGATAATTCTATCAAAAAAAAAATTATGAAAAAAATCCATATAAAATAAAAATAAAAATAAAAAAGTATAAAAATAAATACAGAAATTTTATTTTTTTAACTAATTACGTAAAACTTCTGAAAACTTTGATCATCATATGCTAATAATACACATGATATAATTAAGTATTGATCAGTTAAAATCATGTTCAAGATATTTACCTCCTTTTCCAAAGATGCAATTTGTTCCGACAGTCGTAGATTCTCTCGTCTACAATGCACCAAATCAGCATCCGCTCTTTCCAGACGCTGCTTGTACGAATTTATTTCTGCCTGTAATCTGCTCTGCTCTTGACGAGCCTGCCTATCGTTTCGTTCAGCCGCTAGTTTACCAGTCAAGATTTCTTGTTCCGCCGCATCTTTTTCGCTTAACGCTTGGTTCAAATCACTCTGCAAAGTTGCTAAACACGAGAATATTTTTTTGTTTGCAATTTTGCGCAAATAATTAAATCTTTTTAAAGTTTTTAATATTTATCTATATATAAATTTATTTGAGCAACATAAACTTACATAAACGTAATAATAATAGGCGCAAGAGATTAAATCTAATGATATGTATAATGCTAATATGAGCCAACACAAGATATTAACTGTGTGATATAATCAAAACTTTATTAAGCAATTACGTTTCGATCCTCGTTTCTTTTTCAATACATAAATTAATTGCAAAAACAACTAATTATAAGATCGTATTATGACTGTATTCAATCTTAACGAAAAATTGTAGACATCAAATTGAGATTTGCTATAGAATACAAATAAAATATTTTATTATCTTGACAGAAAGTCATGTCTTAAAGTAACTTAAGTCACTTTATGTAAATGTTGAATGGGAAAAACATGGTATTACTATCGTCTATTCCGTTATTGAATAAAAAATTGCTTATTATATGTGAACAAAATTAGTTAAATATTAATTATACTAGTAAAGTTATTAAGTTATCACTATTAAAGTTATTAAAACAAATTATTAAGAAGAATCAAAACTTATATAGCAAGTGATAAAAACAATGTTAACAGTTTAAACGCTCGATGGATAATGAAATGTTAAAACAGATAAAGTCACATTTGAAAAACAAAGTACGCAATCGTAATTAAGATCGACGATAATAAAATTAAAGTTAAAATTTTAAAGTTAAATTGTGTAATAAAGAGGAAGCACTATGTCTTCTTTAACCTTTTCATTATCGATCTTTGTTCTTTTTGTTCATACACAATAAAAAATTTTTAATTCAATAACGATGGTAATACCAGATTTTTCCGATTCAACATTACATATAAGTGACTTAAGTTACCTTAAGACTCTCTGTCAAGATATTTCATTTATATTCTATAGCAAATCTATCAATTTGATGTACAACTTTCCGTTTAGATTAGACACAATCATCATAATGCGATCTTACTTATAATTAATTATTTTTGCGACATTAATTTATGTACTGAAGAAGATCCGAAACGAGGATCGAAACATAATTGCGAAACAAGTAATAAAGTTGTAATTATATCGCATTAATACCTTGTATTGGCTCATATTGAAATTATATGTATCAATAACTTACATATTTTATTTTGCAACTCTTTCTTCAGATTATCCATAGCATTTTGTTTCTGAGATAATTCTCTTCTTAATTCGTTTATCTCTCGTCGCTGTTTCTCAGACTCTAATTGTGATTTGTTGGTGGTCTCCCAATAGGTTGCAATATCGGCGGTAAGTTGTTCGATTTGCTGATTGTATCGACGTTCCACTTGTTGCCTCTCCTCAGTTATGCGTCTATTCGCGTCTTGGGCTGCCTCCCGTAGCTTTTCATGCTGTCTCTCCAATTCATCTTTTAATCTTCGAATCTCCATCTCGCTCTGATTCCTCTCAAACTCGATTTCATGCCTATCGTCCATAGACCGTTTCGCTTTCTGTGTCGCTTCGGTCTCTTTATCTCGCGCGACCGACAGCAGCTTCTGCAATTCCTCTAATTTCATTTCAACCTCGTACTTGGCGCGTAAAGCCTTGTCCAATTCGGCCTTTAATTCAGCATTGCTCTCACTTGAACCACTCTCGAACAAACGTTTCAAATTTGCCTGATTCTCCTCCTGCGCCTTTCGTAACTCCAGTTTGGCTTGGGTTAATTGCGCCTCCAGTTCACTAATTCTCGACTCAAATATTATACTGGGTCCTTCTAAGGGTTTCTCGCGTTTACATTCTAATGTGTTATCAACATGGCCGCTCGTTTCTTGCTTGTGACATTCGTGATTCGCTCCACAGTGATCTTTATGATCCTGTAGAACGCACTTGGACAATGCAACTTGATTCCTGCTATGCAATGCTTCATTTTCAGCTATGACCTACGAAAAGCCATAGTAATTGAAACGATAAAAAAATTTCATTTTATTCATCATTATGCTAATAGCTAGGATACCTGAATATTCTAATATTGATTTGAAAAAAAAAATTATACCTCACGAACTTTACTCAACAGATTGATCAATTCATCTCTACAATATTGAGACTCTCGTTCCAATTGTTCGATATAATCCTCCTGCCTTTCGATGAAGGACGTTAATTCCGGAGGAATAGACTGAAGATCGGCTCTCGACAATGCTATATTACTGTATGCCTTTGACGATTGAAGAGTTTTCGAGAGAGGAAAAGTATTTAAAATTGTATTTTTAGAGAGATCCTTCCTTTGAAAATTATCGCTAATCATACTTTGATCGTCTGTATCCTCTCCAGATTCACTAATTCGGGGATTACTGCTTTTGTATATGTTCCGAACACTTCGTTGCTTTCTATAAGGAAATTGTTTTCATCTGATATTTTATCATATCCCAATAAATATTAATTAATAGTAATATAACATGAATGTTGTTATCTTTTACACTCAATAATATACTATTTCATAACATATGTGTTATATTACATTTATAAAATTTTAAATGAAATTATAACATTGATGTCCTATGATGTTTACTGGCATATATATACAAGATGAAATACGCGGAAAATAATTAAAAGTAAAAGATTTATGGAATAATTCAGGAGAGAGATAGGAAGCAAAAGGAAAACAGGGGGAGAAAGTAATATTTTAAAAGAACTTATTAAATAATATAAAACAGAAGAGATATGATTATATAGGCACAAAATTAAATTTTAATAGATCTTTTAAAATAAAAGTTTATTTAAATATTCATATAAAATTATTTCCCGCAATCCATTTTCCGAATTTTATTTATCGTAAAATGCACACTGGTGAAAAAAATTTATGAAAAACTGCATAGATTGACAAATTAGAAATTATTAATTTTTCATAATATTTGTAATGAGACGTAGAGCGGCGTTGTTTTTTTGAAAAACCTAGAATTCACTGTTAAACAACGCCTCTCATTAAGGATATTTAAAAACTAAGAATTTCTAAAATCTTGTCTTAATCTGTGTAGTTTTTTGTATCTTTTCGTAAAAATTTTTTTTTCGCTAGGGCGGTTTTATTATTTTATCTCTTTTTAAATTTATTTGCAGCATTAATAATTTAATCATTTATAAATTTTATTTGTTTGTCAACTCACATTGCGGACATTCCCGTTGGAGCGTATGATTCAGCTAACAAATATTTTAGTTTCGAAATAGCGTCCCTATATGCCAGCTCCATATAATCCGCCGGTTTCCTTTTGCTTAGATCCAACTTTGAAGATGCATTTGTTTTCCTACAAAATAATTGTTTCTTTCGCACAATTAACTAAATATTTCAGAATATTGCGGTAGATTAGCATCAATTGTCATTAAACTCATGTTAGCAGAATTTATCGATTCTCTTCTTAATCGGTAAAAACTAAACAGAATTTATGATTTCATAACCATTTAAATGGAATACGTCATTTAAATTTTAAATAAATATAAAATAGCACATTTAGCAATTATTCTGTCATCATATTCTCTTAACAAATTTTTATATTTCTACCATCGTTTGTTAACATCGATTGTCTAAATTTGTAGCAAACGTTTGCAAAATTTGTTTTCAAGAGATTTAATCATCTAACAAGGAAAGGTTCTTCACCGATTTTGTTCAACCTTGCAGCAAGGTTGACCTTAAGAGGCATCGTCAACCTTGATTTGATCCCTCTAGTGATGTCATTCAAGATCAAACCAATAACCAGTAAATACTTATTAAATCCTATCATTTTTATCTAAGACATTCTTCTAAAAAATGCACTTTCTGAGATATTAAACTGTTTCCAGATTTTTGGTATATTTTTAAATACTCATTAATCGGCTTCTAAGGCCCATTAGTGAGAACGGCTTTAGGTGTTCATTTGGTATACTCCTCTAACATCGCTGCAAGTTTGATCAAAATAGTGAAGAGCAGAATGTAATCTCTCCTTGTAAGTATATAGCCAACTAAGTAATAATGTCTAAAATGCAAGTATTTTGTGTGTGTGTGTGTGTGTGTGTGTGTGTGTGTGTGTGTGTGTGTTGTACACACGCGCGCGCGTACATATATATAATATATATTAATGAACATAATTAACTTTGGAAATTAAGTATTCCAAAAATTAAAGAATGTTTTTATATTATACTTCATAATTTTATATTTCCGTGCTAATAATATTTAGTACAGTAATATTTATCACTATTACATTACTAGACACATATATATAAGACAATCTTTCTCCTATAATAGACAAATTAATATATTCCAACTTTACCTGTTCTTCAAGCGCTTCATACGCCCGACGCAAGCAGGATCCGTGTAACTATTTATACCAGGTGATGTTTTCAATTTAGTGATGATTCTTGGAGAGAATTTTGGACGTGTCGTATTCGGATTACCGTTGGTCGCAATACTCGTCACACTGCCAGGTACAAAGGGGTGGCATTCACGGCAACTGTAGGGGCTGTTCGTCGTCAGCATTCTGAGCGCGTTCTACCCTTTATCAAGCAATTCTTCGTTTCACCCTCTCAAGAACGCACGTCAGTCGGCTGTCCGGCCAATCGATGATACGTTTCTCCCAGTCGGGAGAAGTAGACGAAGAAAATCGAACGGCACTCCAACATTGTAACTGGAGGAGCCTGGTGGTGGATCGCGTGCGATGGTACCATCCTACCTTTATAGATCCCCTTGGCGGGGACAAGTAGCACCGTACCGCCGTCGTACCACCTCCGACATGTACGCGTTTCGTGACTTATTAACTTGGGGCATACCTCGATGATAAAGCATACCTTTAGTAACGATCAGACAAGGATAGACAAATGCTGACGCTATCGCTTCCTGATATTTTTCATATCCTCTGCTAGAGAATTCCTATGGAAACAGAAAGATCAACAAATGTGCAATAATGATGACAACGTTTACGGAAACGAAGCTAAATATATCATAAAATATTCAATTTGATTCCAAATGTTCTGTATATTAGAATAGTAGGATATTTATAGAATGTTCAAAAGTTAATAAAATATTTAAAATATTATGAGTGCGTTCGAGGAAACGCTATTAATGCTATTTATGTCATTTTATCTTCATAATTCATCAGATGTCATAAAACAAGGATAGATCATCACAAATAATGCTAATGGCGTCTAATCCTGAACACATATGTGTTTTTAAAAAATTTTTCATGCATGAATATGTATAAATGTGTATAAAAATACATAAACACGCATATTTATAAATATGTATAAACATGTATAATTATATATGTCTATATACATGTTCATACATCCTTCTATCTTTTGTAAAATACTTTTTAGTATAATAGAAATAGTAATAAAAATAATAATAATAATGTGAAAACATAAAAATTGAAGGAATAATTTTTGTTTTGGTTGTTTTAGAATAAGTTTGAAAAAATGTAAAAAAAATTGCTCATACATAATTATGCATAATTTTATATATGATTATACATGAATAATTTTTTCACATTTCTTCAAACTTGATTTTTTTCTAAAATATAGTGCGAAAATTATCTTTTTAATTATTTTTAATGTTTTCACATTACTATTATTATTTCTATTATACTAAAAGTAATTTTATAAAAAAAAAAAGAATATATGAACATATATGGACATATTTCATTATATAATTATACATTTATGAATATTTATGCGTGTTTGTGCATGTTTATATATATTTATACATATTTATGCATGACAAATTTTTTACCGGCAAGTACAATTTAAAACAGAACAATTTTCATTAATTGAAGAAAGTAATAATTTATAGGAATAGAAATTCGTATTAAACGGAAGCCAGTTATTGTTTTTTTCTTTCTTTAGTTAATTTGAAATTGTGAAATAAAATTAAAATTGAAAAGTTCATAATACTGAAACTGTGATATAGATTGGATAGATGAAATTATACTTCTGGTTTATAACTTTTTCTTTATTCTTTTTTTTATTTAATTTTTTTTTTAATTTACAATTTGTTATTTCTGTTAGTTCAACTACCTTATTAGGATTAAAGAAAGATTATATGCAAAAAATTATATGCAATTTTAAAAATTATACGAATTATAAATATTTATCACATGCTAATGAAAGGCAACTAAGATTATATATTTATTTAAAGAGGCTGTTCAAGCCCTTGTAAAGTAGATTTACTTTGGAAAATCGAAAAAGTTGATTTTTAAAAATATATAATTTAAATTTAAAAGTATAAACTGCAATTAAAAAGATATTTCTTAAAAATTTAAATCAAATTCAAAAAATTAATACATCACCTTTATGAGAAAGAATCATTGGCTAGGTATTATATACATATAATCTGTATAGTATTATAATAATAATAAATATTACAATAATACAACATTACAATAACTACATAACATAATAATTACAATAACTACATAAAAATATTATAGTAATTACATATATATATTACAGGCATCTATGTGTTCACCATTTTTGTGATACGATAATTACAAGATCCACTCTGTAGTGCTTTTATTAGCGTGTAATCCTTCTACTATAAAAGTTTGCCGATTCTAATATTTATATTGTACAGTAACTACACGATGTAATCTGTAGTAATTTGTGCGGGATTACAGTAATTACACGGATTATAATATCTGGTCTGCAATGATTATTTTTCGTAAGAGCACAGACCATTAAAGAGATCAATACGCGCATAAAAAAAGAGAAACGTATTTTTAGAACAAGTAAAAAAGTTTCAAGTAAATAAACCTACTACTGCTTTTTTATGAAAGTTTTAAATTATCAGATTTATTATTTTATTCGTAATACGATTATATTAGAAATGCTCATAATACAATGTAATCAAAATGCTCATAATATAATAAATATGTGGAATATAATGTAAATATGTATAATACATGAGATATTTGAATTAAATATTAAAAATTTTTAATACAGTTATTATATCTCAAAATCACATCTCGAAATCATATGGAATATATAAACATTTGTTATGCTTTTTTAATTGAAATAAGATTAAATCTAAATATGCATATTATGACTGTGTTCGATTTTGGCTGCATGTAAGTTCCATTCTATCTTTTTTCTACAGGTAAAAGTAATAAAGTAAAAAAGTGATAAAGATAGAAGCTTACAATGCATGAACGTTGAAATCGAATGCAGACTATACTTTAAAGATAAGTGCGCTCATTTACTTGTGTCCGTGTATTGCACTTTGTCACGCACTTTGTCTTCTTTGAATATGTAATGACATGTATTATACATATATAGAATACTTTACGATCATTTAAATATTACTTTTACATTCTATAAATATTTCGAAATATACCGAAATATTTTTGAATTATTATTGTGGAATTTCAGGAATATTGTATGAATATTTCAGGAATAAAAATTTAGCGCTAACTTGGTCAAATCTGTGAATAATAAATCTGTAAGTAAGGAGCGTCGACTGTATACGATACAAACGATCAATTTTATATCTTAAGATGACTTTAATAAACTCTATAAAGATTCGAGATTTAATAAATTTTTATATCTTTATAGAAGAAAAATATTCTCTTATATTACTATATTTAATATTTTAATTTATCTATTTAATTTTTGAGCTCTATAAAAATTAAATTGTGACTTAAAAAACAATACATCTTAGTACGAAAAATATAGAAAAATCAGAATTTTTGATTTGGTAATGACTACACGAATCTATTTCTATCTATTTCAATTCCTTGAGAATTACCGAATCCAAAATTCTAATTTATTTCGAATACTGGGATAATAATTATGACATGAAGGATAAATAGAAAAAACAAAATATTTAAAAATATATATAAGACAAGAGGAAAATAAATCTAAACTAATTCAAAAATAAAATAATTAATTCCATAATAATTTAATCTAAATAAAACTTTAGATTAAATCATGATACAAGTTTCTCTCTCTTTTTCTTTTTATGCTTTGCGTGACAAAGTGCAATACACGGACACAAGTAAATGAGCGCACTTATCTTTAAAGTATAGTCTGCATTCGATTTCAACGTTCATGCGTTGTAAGCTTCTTTATCACTTTTTCTATCTTTATCACTTTTTTACTTTATTACTTTTTTACGTTTATTACTTTTACCTGTAGAAAAAAGATAGAATGGAACTTACATGCAGCCAAAATTGAACACAGTCATAATATGCATATTTAAATTTAATCTTATTTCAATTAAAAAAGCATAACAAATGTTTATATATTCCATATGATTTTGAGATATAATAACTGTATTAAAAATTTTAAATATTTAATTCAAATATCCTTTACAATAATCTTACAATATAAGAAATTCGCATTAATAGAACATAAAATAAAATTCATTATTAAAATATATAAAATTATAATATCAACAGTTTCAAGTAAAAAAGATAATAGTTTGCATACTGTATATCACATAACGTTCGAGAAAACGTTATCAGCGCTATTTGTGTCATTCTATCGTCATCGTTCATTTGATTAGATGTGAAACAAGAATAGTGTAACATAAACAGCGCTGATAGTGTGCTTTGCAGCCTACAAGAGCAAGTATTGTTCTTTTTCTTTTAATATTATCAATGTCTTTACATTCCATTTTTTTTTTAGAACTAAGTAATATATAACAGTACTTAATTTACAAATTAAATTAAGTATTATTATATCATCAATGTATATTGGCTTGAGATTGAATTGAAGAGGAATTTCCATCAACTGCATTTGGAGTTTCTATGAAACTTTCATCATCATCGTTGCGTAACGTATCAAAAACTAAAACAATTTTTACATTCACATGGTTAAATATTAATTTACGATTATTATCACTAAAATACAAACAAATGCATTCTAAACATACCAGTAGTACGTGAGAATGGTTTGATGTATAAAATCATCAGTAAAGCAAATATTGCGGATACTCCACAGACATATGTAAGAATGTCTCTGTAGTAATAACTAGCATAACCAGACGAACAGTGTCTGAAACATAAACATAGTTAAAGCAATACTTCTTTCAATTTATGACTTTTTAAATAATAAAAAATTTAATTCAAGTTTTTATGTGTTAAATATTCTTACTAACTTTACTAAATACTGAATTAACATAACCACCAGACCATTACTAAGCTTATCTGTAAAGCTCATAATTCCGTAGGCAAAGGCACCACTCTCAGTATTTTTTCCTATTAGATCGGAAGTAACACCAAGACTAGTCACTAACATTATTGCACCAGCAGAACCTATAACATAAATTAAATTAGTTAGGCGTTCTTAGTTTTCTTAAATTTATAAAACTTCGCATTTACATTATATCTAATTAAAAATTCTACATAAATTACCTAGTAGTATAGCTACAACATAGATTTGATATTTAACATATATGTCACCATTACCAAATTGTATCCAAATACAGGCACATATCGCAAGTAAAGCACCAATAGAATACGCGACTTTTCGTCCCCATTTTGTATTGAGCCTCTCTATGATTAAAGACGTTAAAAAACTACTTAGATACATTGTCAATGGTATATAAGCCAAAGATGTCGCAGGCATATTCAATGATTCATGTAAGTACAGAGGTATATAAATTTGGCATAAATTAATGAATAGACGTGTAAGCATATAGACACATGCTACTTGATACATTCTGACATCTTTCAATAATACTGATGCTGTTCTAGCGTTCCTATGCATAAAGCTACCTAAAAAGATATCAATTATTTGCTTTTACATATTATATACTTATGCACATGTATATACATAAAATATTTTTAAAAATTATTACCATTAGCAGTGCCATTAGCACTTTCTTTAACAACAACATGAAATATAATAGATGTAACTAATCCAATTACTATTCCTATTAAAACAACTTTCTGAAATTTGTGAATATCACTAGGTCCGATCTGAGTATCATACTCATCACTCGTTACATGTAGTACACCCCACATAATACAGTAAACAAGAACATTGGAGAAGACAGTAAATGTGAACCTATTTAATATTGTGATAGAATTTTGTTACACATATATACATTATCTTCATTAAATAAACTTTTTTTGAATGATTCTTCTACTATTACCTTACAGCTATAAGTTCAGTTCTCTCGTGTTCAGCAGGCGTAAGCTCTGGGACTAAGGCCAAATGTGATATTTGTACCGCTGCCCAACCAAATTGAAAAATCACTACAAAAGCAGCATAATAAACTAGCTGTGCGTATTGATGTGCATTTTCGCAGCCTAGACATTGCGAGAATATGAAAGGAAATCCCAATAGTACGCAAATAGTGCCTGCAAAGTAAATAATTATTACAGTGTTTTGAAACAAAAGCATATCTAGATAACCAAATCTGTCAAAAATAAATTTTGTAAAATGTTTACAAAATATTTACTATAGATCTTATCGAAATATAAGCAAAATTATAACAGAATTTGCCAACAAAATGTAATGGCAAATTTATTACAGACTACTGTGACATATTGGCATCAATTACATCTATATTAAAGTGTTCTGCTAATAAAGATATAAATTGACAATGAATTAGCAGTAGAAACGAAATAAAATCTATTACATTTTTTAATCAATTGAAATGTTGTTTAAATGACAACAACAGATTCTGTTCAATTCCTACTATCAGTCAACAGGCTCTATTGATAGAAGACTAATTTAATATAGATGCAGTCAATGCTAATATCCTTATTCTTGCTAGCAAACTACTAGCTTATTACCAACAGTTTAATATTCGCTACATAAAATAATAACAAGACTAAACAAGATACAAATTTTAGATAACAAGTTTAAAAATAATACCTAACAAATGCCAGGTTTTTCTTCTGCCATATCTGCACAACCAAAAGTTGTCATTTATGTCAGACTGAAAACCAACAAACGGAGTGACTAAGGCATCTGCTATTTGGCCGATGAGAAGTACAACGCCAGCCAGAGTCGGATCAAATCCAAGTACCAAGTGAAAAAAGACCAGTAAATAGGTGAACCACATGGAAGCGCAGATGTCATTTAATACATGACCCGTGCCATAGGCTAATCTCAAATAAAGAGGCAATTTCCGTATTATCTCCACGTAATCATCCGTCGAGCTGCTTGTCCCAGGTTCCATTGTGACAGATCGTTAACGAACATAAACAGTTGGCCTTAAGCGCAACTTATGTCCTTCTTCTTCTCAGAAGGTATTTTGCAGATGAAAGGGAAAGATCTCTACATCAAAGCCCTAATGACTTGTTAATTAAAGAATGTAGTCGTGGCGTTATCAATGAGTCAAATGTATACACTTGTAAATCCTAAAAAATGGAACATTAAGATGAAGAATCAGAAGAACGTCACAATATAATGAATTATCATGTCACGTTTTCCTTTTTGACAATACGCTGACGAAAATTAGCTTGTTTAGCAAAATCAAAGGTGTTCGAGATAGAGAAGACATCAGTCCTAACCTATCAAATTTCCCTAGAGGGGGAATGTTATGTTGTGCTGCTCTACACCTACTCTATTAGGCTATGTAGGCTACTAATGATGTTACGTTGACAGACATGAGCAGTCATGTGATTGATGTGATTCATTCTTTCAATATGTACGCCTTTTGCCGCTGTGGAAGAGCGGCAAAAGGCGTACATATTGAAATAATGTAATTAAAGGACTGTTTCACCTGCATTCTTTTTGCGACATAAATTTTTATTTCGTTTTGTAAGACACACAGTGCTATGCTCCTCTTTTTAAATTTGTTAAGATAAAGCTGAAACTTCATGTAAAACTTCATCTTGCAAATTGGATGAAATAATAGGCCTATCCTTTTCAGCTGAACTTCTCGCACGGTATATCTCTTTTCTATTTTTCTCTATAGAGAAAAGAAGAGAGATGAACCATGTCAAAAATTCAACAAAAAGAACAGGCCTAATTTGCACAAAATAAGCAGCGCAAATTATAAATTTTTGAACAACCATAAATGTTAAACCGCGGTCCAATTCATGTATTGGGTTGTCCAGAAAGTTCGTGCCGCAAAAGATTTAAATTTAATAAATGAAATTAAAAATTTAAATCTTCTGCGTTTCAATTTTCCTTCAAAATCGGCACGAACTTTTCGGACAACCCAATACATAACATTCATGTTTACAACGCTCATTTTGAGCCATTTTATTTTTGTCATTTATGAAATATTAAACAAAAATATAATATATCTCTAATATAATATATAATAAAAATATATTTACAAAGATTGCGAATGATGTGAATCGAATCGCAGTCAAAAAAATAAAAAATATATTGCAGAGTAACTCTTATCTAGTCGAAAGAACAGCCATCATAGTCTACGATTAATTTATTTTATCATATTATTTTAACAATATATATGTAATATATAAGCAGAACTTACTAAAATATATTACTACCGATGAATAAAACAAATTCTGGTATTATGGTAAGATTTCTGCAAAAATTACACAATCTTCCATCCTCATTCTGCTTTTTTCAGCTTCATTGATATATATATATATAATACACATTAATGGAAATATAAATATACACATATGTGGCAAAAAAATACATCTTCTGCACTTATAAAAACACTTGGAACACAGGCATTTTGTCTACATTATATTGTGTTTGGATAACAACTTTTAGAATACCTGTATAATACAGCTTGTAAAATAATTTGAAATCAAGATGTTTTTTAGATGTACATTATTACAAATCAGATGCACAGTAGCGTCATTGCATAACATTTGTGTATTTATACGCTAAGGGACGATCTAGAATTGAGATAGAACTGATGACCAGAGAAAAGGAAAGTGAGGACATAGATGCATGCGGCAATCCAGCAGTTGTATGCATTCTGCGTATATCCTCGGTCCACCACTTTGTAGAATTCTTCTTTTGAAGTAAGATTTTCCTTCAATTCTTCCAATGGGAGATCCTCTACAAGTGCTACGCTCCGGACATAGAAAAATACTCCCATGAAAAGCTAAGAAAAAAAAGATCCAATAAACAAGATGTTAACATGATGTACACTAGCATGTAGCTTACTAGATTTGATTCATAGTCTAAATCTTATTTAAGACCGTTTTATGTTCAGTCTTAAGATATGAACCAATTAGAAAATATTAACTTAAAACATTTCTTAAGACAATCTTAAAATAAGAACAAACTATGAATATCGTTTTAATATTACAGCAGATTGACATTAACTGCGTCAATATTAAGCTTGTGTTTTGTTAATGACTGTGTTCTATAGAAAAAGCAGCTTTACAACTGTTGTAAGATTTTTTTTCATATGATTAGTTATACATTTAGATCTAGCAAGGAATTAAGAGCAAGAACTAATCATGTTAAAAAATCTTACAATAGTTGCAAAGATTCTTTTTTTAAATGTAACTAATGGAGATGCATAAGTTGTCTTTTGTTATTCTGCAAATACTGAAAATTTATAGTTACATAATCTAAGTTAATTATAAAATTCCAATATTTATGCAAACTAGATAAATTTTCAGTAGTCATAATGAATAACGAAACGCAGCCATTCAATAAAAGATTGCCAATGAAAATCAAAATCTGTCTATAGACTTGTTCCTTTTAGCTGTATTTTTTACAGGATTTATCTTTGTTCTCTTACTTTGAAGAAAAAAAAAGAGAAAAGATAAAAGTAAAGGCTCAGCTTAAAAAATTATATTTAAAATTGATCATTCTGTTCGGTTTCTATAATTAATCTGCCATCAAGTTCTATCAGCAGATTCTGTTATATTTCCGCTGGCACGAAAATCTTGTCTTTGACAAGATTTATAACGTAACAAACGCTGAAAAAACAGTTTTCGACGACTTTCTCTAGGAAATTAATTCCGATATCAAGACGTTTTATTTTTAAGTACGTAAATATATATTTATAAAAGCATGATCTTTTTCTCTCACCAACTGGAATATGCCCCAAACAGACAACACTAAACCGCACAAGGCATATTTGGGCCCGCAGACCTTCATCCTGCTTGACGAGATCGTTCGTACGAAATGATCAAATTTAACCAAGCGACTTCACCGTTGCTTTACACGAATATTTGGTGATTAATCGGGAATGTGAATGAGATGACCTAGGTACCAGCGTTCGCTAATACCCTCGGCAGATCGTAACACTCGTGACAATCTGACGATACACCGCGATGAGGGTTTGTAATCATGTGACGTTTAATGAGGTCTGTTCGAATTCCTTACACTTTTTACACTCAGCATCTTTGCTTTCTTTCTTTTCAGCGCCAAATATATATCTATCTCATTTTAAGTGTAAAAAGTGTAAGCAAGTCGAACAGACCAATGATCTCGACTAATCATTCGAAGTGCCAGCGATATATCGATAGGTCACAGCGATCTATCCGCATACTGGTTAAATTTACCCAGTGAGACGCCAGTGGGCGCCAGCTAATCAGCGATAAGCGCGCCAAATCGCGGATAAATAGTGTAATCAGCAGGTTTTCCAGATACGCACTCTATCGCTAGACACGCACCAACACGCACGGGATTACGTACTGGATGTGATTCACGCATCTTGGCTGTTGTCAACCCTGATTCATGAGATCATGGTCGACCGATTGGGTTAGTTCGTGCTCCGTTTATTAGCATGTAATTAATATCGCGTATCTTGCGAAAAGACGAAGCCGCTAGCCATCCAGGCAACTCGGGGAGGTTCACGCGTCCCGCAATCGCGAACGGGTAGACGCGGGTGACGCGCAGCCGTTTCGGCCTCCTTGTGCAATTATGCGCGCGAGGATAACGGTCTCACGGGCTGTCGACTTCGTGTTGATGGACCGTGTGCTTTTGACAGCTCCGGACAGTCCGGAGTAATTCCGCTCTGTTTAGCCGCACGCTTCCCTCCTCCCTTCTTGCTCTCGTTACGCTTTCTATATTTAATATGTGACGTCTCGATGAAGAGATGGAAGAGATGAAATTTACACGGGGTGTGAAAAGTGCAGCTAGAAAGAACGGGTCTGACGTGCCTCAGACGTTTTCGTTTGAAACGTGGGTGTGTTGCAAGCGTGACACTGGAATGACATTCTCGTTAATATCTCCCCTCCCCCATCCTTGGGGCTTGATTTGTTTTAGTAAACAGCGAGGCCAATGCCAGGCGCATCGCGATGGTCGAAAACTGCTTCGGCGGTTCGGGTCAGGTAAGAGAGATTCATGCGAGCAAAATTTATAAATTTCTCGAATATTTGTAACTAACGATGACTCACTTATAAAATATCTATCTTACAGCCGCTCGCAGTACCCGGCCGAGTCTTGGTGGGTGAAGGGGTCCTGACAAAAATGTGCAGGAAAAAGCCTAAGCCTAGACAGTTCTTCCTGTTCAACGACATATTGGTCTATGGAAATATCGTGATTAATAAGAAAAAGGTGTGTACACAGAGAAATGTTTGTCTTTTATGGATAAAGTCTGTGATGTGAGCCATATAAAATGAATTCTATATCTAACATTGGCTACTTTTAGCAGAAAAAGCAACTTTGCAACTGTTGCAAAATTCTTGAATATGATTGGTTTATAAATTCTGCAAGGAACTAAGGACAAGACCAATCATATTAAAGAATTTTACAACAGTTGCAAAGTTGCTTTTTCTGCTGAACGCAACCATTGATACATAAAACAACAGTAATAATAGTGATTATAATGATAATTTGTTTACAGTATAACAAGCAACATATTATACCACTGGAGGAGGTAAAATTAGAGTCTCTGGCTGACGAGGGTCGTAAGTACATTATATTATTTGTAACTAATACTTATATGCATATTGCAATTTTTGTTTACTCCATCTACGTTACAACCTTGGTCATAAATATAAAGCATTTTCAATTTATTGTATTTTCTTGAAAAAGCTAATAAAAACCAAAGAATTAGCAAAATATTGAAATTGTAGGCCTGTTCTTTTTGGCTGAACTTTTGCACCAGTTCATCTTTCTTCTTCTTCTTTCCTCATAGAGAGAAAAGGAAGAAAGATGAACTAGTGCAAAAGTTCAGTCAAAAAGAATAGGCCTTGTTAGAAAAATAAAATTTTTCATTTTTCAATTTTTTATTTTTTATTAGGTATAGAATACTTATATCACTTTGTGAAGATGATTTATATTTTTTGGTTAAGGCTGTATATGTGAAATATTTTTAAAATATCTTTTTATATTCCCTCTCTCTATTCTGTAACTCTTGATAATGTCGATATTGTTATAGGCATATTGCATAGGTATGATAAAAAACTGTACGATATAACAATACCAACACTTAAAAGATTATAGAATACAGATATAGAAAGATTTTAAAAAAAATTTCGAAATAGATTTCTATAAAGAAATCTATTCCAGTGTTATTTTTCCAATGTTTTTAATAATTTTTGTTAAAAATCACAGAAAACTTTTACATGCAAGATCTCTTACAAAAAATAAATAAAAATTTTGAAATATATTTTATCGGGTTCTGTTTTTGAGAGAAATGACGCATTTACTATAGTTTTTCAATTATATCATACGGCATATGGATCAGTAATCAAATGAGATCATATATGCATATCTAGAAAGGTAGTATAGTATTGGATCATTATTTATAGAATATCGTAATGGATGGCTCATTAAAACAGTAACAAAGTCGTTTGCTGTTTATGCTGCTACTCCAACAGAAAAACAAGAATGGATGGCACATATCACAAAATGTATTGAAGATTTGTTAAGAAAAAGTAAGCAAAAATCAAATTGTTATTTTTTTTAAGATGATAAATTTCTGAATTTTGCAAATATGACTTTTTTTTAACTTTATCTTTTTTATTTTTCTTTATTTTTTTTAGGTGGCAAAAAGCCTGTCGAAGTTCATGCAGCAGTTTGGGTACCAGATAATGAAGCTACAATTTGTATGCACTGCAATAAAACACAATTCACAGTATTAAACAGACGGGTAATGATAAAATCATATATTTATTATTTGAATGGAAATTGTTGAAAAAACTTAAACAATCGTTCTTCAGCATCATTGTAGACAATGTGGAGCAGTAGTTTGTGGTCCATGCAGTAACAAAAAATTATTACTGCCTGGGCAAGGAAACGGGAAAGCTGTCAGGGTCTGTTTACAATGTTACGATGCCGCTAGTAAAATCAAGGCTATACCAACGACTGCTGTGGATAGCTTAAATAACAAAGACCCGCAACGTAATTCTGCTGACAGTTCAGGAGGGGATAGTTCTGGAGACGATGATGATGGAAATAAGGAGGAAAATCATGATGAGGTAGGTTTCTTTTTGTTTTGAATGAAGATCAACATCCATAAAATGATTTATAATTCAGAGATAAATACCGAAATAATTTTATTAATTGTATACTGATATTGTCAAAATAAAGATACATTTGCAGTACTAGGCACAATTGCTAGCATTCAATCCCTGATTTATAATTATAAAATCAATGTATTTAAATGTAATAATTTTCCTTTTTTTGCAGCCTAAATTTTATTCCACGCTTGGTCGATGAAAATGACTATATCATACGGATGAAGTACGGATGAAATATGAGAGAGAAGCAAAAATTCTACAGAAATATTTTTAAAAATCAATATCGAACTACATTATAATAAAAAAAGTTATAAGAATGTCATTCAAGAAAATCAAGAAATATTTCTTAACGATTCATAAGAAGATTGAAACGAAGACAAATGCGTATAATGCGAAATTCTGCCAAAATTTATGAAGCACATATTGTTTTACATATATCTAATTTGCATCCTGCAATTTTTAGCAATAAAAAAGTATTACATTTTATTAAGGCGGTTCTTTAGTAAATTGAGTTATTAAAAATATCTGATTTTTAAAAATGAAGTTCAGGTACCGAAATTGACATAGGCAAAATTCTACATTAGGTTAACGATAAAATAAGAAAAAAAAATGTTGAAAATGTAACCTTTCACATATAACTTAGTGACTAATAAAGCTCGCAGACGCTTCTTTGACTAATTGCACACAAATCTTACCATAGACTTTTCTTAAAAATGAGATATAATAGTTTAAAAAATTACGATTTTAATAATCACAAAAAAGTATTAAATCAATTCTATAGATAAAAATATGGCCAGTCTGGAAAGATATTTACGTGTGTGCATAAACTTGCATATAAATTTAACCTCGAAAAGTAAACTTAATCTCGTCTTATTTTCGTTCGATGAAGATAGCTCTTGATTTATTATATTATTGTATGTTCCATACTATTTCGTTAAGATATACACATAGTTTTAATATTTTACCCAAATTATGCAGATATTTGTAATTTTGAATGGGTCCTGGTAAGGCACCCTAAATTTTCGGCACTTTATTACTAAGGAACCACCCTGATGCAAAATAAAAAAATGATAAAAATATATAGTTGATTGAAAAAACAAAGTATCAATATTTTTTCTAAAGTATTATAAATGCACAGTTAGAAATTAACAAAGACTTGTAATTGAATAATACAATTACATAACGTTCAATGTATAAATTTATTATATATAACCATTAATTATTAGATCAAAAATTTTTTTGAAACATTTTTCATCAATGTATAATAAGAATATATGCCGCCATCGTGCCTTTTTACATTATTGATCAATATCAGATATCTAATTGTAAGTAAAAAACATGTAACATTTAATGCAACATTTAGAATGCAAAGACTAATTTTTTAATTGTATACATTTCTTTCTACCTATTATTGCAATACGTTATAATACAGTACGTAGCACTCTAAACGTAATATCTGTGAATAAACTGTTATATTATTATAAATTTAAGAGTGTTATTTGATGAAATAGTAAACACCATGTTATCTTTTGGATGTTAGTATAATAATTGAGAGATAAAATTAGCTTATTAGAATTAATATACTGAGAATCTCGAGGGAAAGATGTTCAATTAATGTATAAACAATAAGAGAAGTTTTTAAATTTATATATAAGATAAAAATGTCACTCCTTATCTAAATTGCAATGATACGAAATCATGATATGAAAATCAGATAAAGAAGATGAAAATATATCATTTGTACAAACAGATCATTTTTAAAAATTTTATAAAAAATTACTTCGTAACATATATATAGTTAGTTTGTGTAACATGATAATATAATTCATATGACTTTATCTCTATAACTATATAATATATAAATACATATGTTATAAAAAATATATAGTAAGTTCCACAAAATAGAAAATATTAATATCAACTCATGTCTACTCTTTTCTTTTTGAGGATATTATACTATTATAGCGCAAAAATATGTTGAAATTTTTAATTTCTTTATCTAAGTTTTTAATATCGGAATTTATCATAGATCTTTAAGAAAACGAATTTGTTAATACATTGTTTCTTATTGACAACTTGTTCTTAAACTGTATACAAGCTATCTTTAACAGAAATAAAACATATCATACATTTTCATATAAATATACTGAATTATTCATACACAATATTGTATATTAGATGTTAAATTTTATATTTGTTATTCATAGATTTTAATGAATATCTATAATTTTAATAAACAAGCAAACTCGATTAGTATTTTCTATTATTTATTTTAATAATAGAAATTATTGATAAATTTTCCGTTTCAAAAAAATTTACAAATGGAAAAATACAAACAATAGAAAATACTAATTGAATTTGAGTTTTGTTCTTTTACTCTTCCGTTATTCAATTTCGTGTTCTACATATGTATTTTCTAACTTTGCTGTAACAGAATTGCTGACTTCTAGTATCTTCTTATAACGTTCTACCAAGTCACTAATGGACCGTCTCTTTGAATCATTTTCATGTTTTACAATTGTACTTTTATCATCGTCGTTTACAATCTGTACTTCTGTAAATTCATCCAATTCGGGTTTATTTACTTTGATCTTATGATCGAGTTTATTTTTCACTTGTTGCTGAGACACAACTTTTGAGACATTTCGTTTTATCGGAGTGAATTGTATAGATGAGTGAGAAATTTTGGAAGACTCTTCGCTCCAATTGATAAAACCCTTTGTTATGGTATCTAAATTAAAATCCGATGAACTGGATATTTCTTCTATACTTGCAATAGCAGAGTTACATTGTGTGGTAGATTGCAGAGACATGCTAGAATTGACTATATATAAATATAATTTTAATTTTATATATGTATACCGTAAACAAAATATATCATACAATCAAGAAAAATTGTTAAAAAGGCTATTATTTTATATAATAAAATTGAATTATAAATACTACCTTGCAGAAATAATGTTTTATTATTATTGTAATATAAAAATACATGTTTTAGGTTGTGAAAAATAAATATAAATAAAAAAGAGCTAATAATGGCGGTTTCTTTTAGTGATAATATTTAATTAATTTCATTTCTTTCATATAAAATAAGCATTATCTAATTTTAGTAACTTCTTGATTGTCTGATCTTTTTTTAATAGAAATTACATAAAATTTCAATAACAATATTACTTATATAAATCAAATAGAATTTTTACAAACCTTTTATATTTTGCTTTTTGTGTGTAGCAAATAATCGGGAATATTTTCCTGTTGTTCTCTTACATAACTGATTTACTTTAGGTGTCACAAAACGTAATTCTTGTTTTTCATTACTATTTAACATAGTATGATTGTCAATGTTGATGCGTGACACGTATAAATTCGTTTTTACATCTGGTGTGTAATTTTTACTGTGCCGTATGTATCTCGAAAATAATGATTTGTGTGCAACTGTAAAAAACGAACAATATGATTACGCTAATAATTATTTGACACAAAAATTACAATCTATAGTTGTTTCTTAAATATCGATCTTACTTTCAGTCGGAGTAAATTGCAATTCGTTTCTTTGGTTCGCGCAATTAGTATTAATTTTGATAAGAGGCGAGGACATAAGAAGTATGTTTTTTACAAAGGGTAAAACATTTTTATCCTCAGATATGCGCTCTGTATTTTTCACACACAAATCATTTTGCATCTCCTCTGTAGAACTTATCATGTTGGCCAAGAAAGTTTTAAATACATTGCACATGGATTTCATGTCTTCTGTACTTGCTTCCACTTGCAAAAGACACTGGGACAGATCGACTAAGTCGTCCTTCCTCAGACATTGATATACTTGATATAGTATCAAAGTAAGCAGATGAATAAAATTGTGATATATTAATCTGTTATCATTATACAAACGATAAAAACAATGCTAAAAAAGGAAACATAAATTGATAAAATATCAAATAGTGCATATATATAATTTTGTATATAATTTTTAAAATAAGTGCTTGTTAGTTTATTAATATAAGGTTAAAAAGAAATTGCAATCATTTATTTAATATTCAATTTTACCTGAACATCAGGTGGAAATGGCAATTCCGATATCAGAAAACAATTAATTTTTTCCAACTGTTTGCTATCTAGTGCTTTTGAATCATTCAATAGATTCGATATTATGCCACTTGTTTTCTCACATGTTCTTTCCAGATCACTCAACATCATATACCGTTTTCGTATATATTGTATATTTTTGTTTAAACTATTTTTCCACACTAAAACCCATGTATATTCATTAATTTCACATGTACAAGATTTTCAACAAAAAATTAATTTAAAAAATTAATGATTCTAACTTGATACAATGTCTGTATCTTCGACATTTGTTAAACATTGCTTTATAGATTCGGTAACAGGAGCTGAAGAAGCACATTTTGTCAAAGATTGTTTCTTGTCGAACAGCTCTGTTTTAATTTTAGTCAAATATTCTTTCTCTTGTCTAAAGGAGGAATAAAATAAACTCAGATTTATAATATTAATATTAGTAGACTATAGAGATAGGGGCGATACAATGCTAATATTTTAAATATGACAAAAAAATAACGACAAAAGCATGTCCGGACGAGTATAATTTAAATTTTGAATTTTTTAAACTCTGATTAAAATAGTTATTCATCAAAAAGATATTCATCAAAAAGATAAGATTCAATAAAACAGTCTAAAAAAAATTATTTTTATAAAAAAAATCCATTCCTTAATCGATGCGCGTATTACCTAAAAGTAAAAATATTGAATCCATATCAATATTAGCAATATCACAAATTATCCAGTTGATATTTCTGTGTATCAATATTTCTGCTCATGATATATTGCAAATATATAAGAACAAAGATACAAAAAGTATTGAGATTTTTATGTCGCCCATCTCTAGTAGATTATATTAAGAGAAATTTAATTAAAAAATATTACGCCAATGCAAAATTTGCAGCTTTTTCCATTTGTACATAATTTCTATGACGACTCAATATATCGCAATTAATATTTGCTTTGGACTGCTGTAGGTATGTTTTAACTGAATCATTTACAAGACTTGGTTTTGGTGCAAATATAATTTCGTGTTCACCTAAAAGGATAAATTAAACTAAATCTATTACGATCAGAATATTTTAATTCTGTATTTTTATACAAAAATATAAAAAATTTAAATAAAATCAATATTTCTAAAAAATTATTAAGACATATAATTCTATAATAATATAACAAATATACAGAAAATAAATTTTGCAAGTGTATCTACTATAGATATCACCAGTAGAACACATAAAAATATAAAAGATGTTAATAAAATATGATAGATTAACTACAATCATCAAGTAGAATTTAAAATTATTTAAATAAAATATATCATTATTAAATAACAGGTTCTACTCAGTTTCTGCTGAATCTGTCAGATTATGGCTATTTCAAAATTTATTGCTAATACTGAAAATCTATAATACACATGACGTAATTTTGAAACAGTCTACGTCAATGAGTTCTAATAACAGAAAAAGTTAAATGCAAACAATAAATACAATCTATTTATAAAGTTAAATGCAAATACAGTTAATGTGCAATCTGCTAACAAAGTAAAAAAATATAGTTAATGTAATCTATTGGCAAACTGTTATAAGATTATAAGGCTAAAATATTTTGCTTCTAGATACCTACCGTCACGCATAATATACATTTTTAATGCAAGCTGAGACAGTTTCCACATTATAGTTATAAACTTAGTACCACTTGCATGATGTAAATAGGTAGTAACCACACGTGGAAATCCTATATCAGGATTCTCTAATGCAATGACATTCAGATAATCTTTGACACTGTTACGATACTTGGTTTCGGTTTTTTTGCAAATTACTGGCCATTCAACTACTTTTTTAAAACGCTCCGCATCATATATCGTCAACAGATAATGTGAAACATATATAAAGCCGGTAGTATTTGGTTTATCAAACATTCCCTGTAACACATGTTTTTATTATATCACCATTATGATAAGAATCAAGAAATGACACATATAAGAAAAAATACCAAATAAAAATTTCAAAATTAAATCGGTAAGATAGAGAAAAATAAGATGTTTACTTGGCGAAAGATCTTCTTGAAGTCATGGTCTGGTGGAACTAATTGATTCAATAAAATGACATTTCGATGGAAGGATGCAGTAATAGCCATTCTGTGACACACACTTTCACACCGCAAATGACAAAAAACTGTGTTAATTAATATTAATCATACAGTTCATAATGCACTAGTCACGTACTCACGATATATTCTCTTATTCGGTATTGAAATTCAAGAATACAGAAGCAAACAATGCGAAATAGAAATTATTAAAAAACATTCAAGCTTTGTAATTCAAACAATCCAAACTGATCCAAACATTTAACGGCGGCTAGAAAAACTGTGGAGACCTCTTTCGGAACAGATTCTCCTTTCTCTTTGGGCGCATTCAGAAGACTCAATAGTAGAGAGCGCTCGTTGTTATTGGTTTATTTTTTTTAGCTCGTCCAATTAGAATTTTAAGCTGATATTCATAGTCGATTCTTATTTTAACATTGTCTTATGGTCGCCTGTTCTATCTATATATAATAGGATCGCAAGTCATAAACCGTAAGAAATTGGACAATCACAGTTAAGAGAAGAATAATCGGCTATGATTGGTTAATTTCTTACGATTTACCGTTGTAGAACAGACCTTAAGTAATGTTTTAAGTCACTAATGCCACCTTCTGATTGATTCATGACATCTTAAAACTGTTTTAAATATAAGATCCGACTATGAATACCGGCCGTAGATCTAGAATCATTAAATTGCTTTAAAGCTTGCAGTACATTAGAGTTCTATATATAAAAGAAATCCGACAATGGTCTAATTTCCACCGAGCAATCGTTCGTGCGTAACAGGTGAATGCTCGATTGTAGTTGCTTGGTTCTGATCTGATTTAAACCCTCGGTGGAAACTAAGCCACCATTGGAATTGGGCTGCGGTCAAAGTCTTACTATAAATGCTTTAAAGCGTTTGGTTGACCAATTAGAAAAAAAAATTTTACAAATTGACCAATCAAAAATTGCTTTAAAGCATTTGTAACATCGCGTTGACCGTATCTTTGGTAAGACCAAGCCTTAGCCGTCTTGAACTCGCCCATTCTTTCTTCTTTTATAAGCGATAAAAGCTGATTGGCTCTTGCGCCAATTTTCGTTGCGCAGCAAGTCGTCAAGGCGTTGTCGAGCACTGACGAGATACTATTAAAGATTATCAACCCTGGGCAAATTTTCGACAGTATAAAAAGGGCCCGAAGATAATTGAAGAACGTTGACATTATCGACAATTGATACAAATTTATTATTATTAACATAAGAATATTTGGCAATATATAGAATATTATAGCTTTACAAGTATGCATATTTATTTATGGAACATTATGTAATAAAAACATTAAATTCATTTTTTTATTGTAAAGCAATAATATTCTATATATTGCAGAAAAATTATAATTTTTTTATCATCTCTGATGATAATCAAACTTTAACGATAATACTGAAATTACAATTTTAAAGAAAAATCGAGCATTATTGAGTTATAAATGCATAATTACGTCTACTAAACTAATAAATCATAAAATTAATACAATATTATCAGTTTTTAACTCTTAATCACTTTAATATTCACAAAGGCGCGAACTCCCGTAAGGATGTTGGTCTTTAATAATATCTCGTCGGTGTCATAAGTTCGTTCTGTGTGCAGGAATCATCACATACATAGTGTGAATCCAGCATAAAGGGAAACACGCGAGCATTGCGATTTGCAAATTGTTGCGTACCATCCTTAAGAGGCATGGACGAAGTCATATTGCGTTGGCGACCATTTTTGTAAGATCTGTCGTTTGCTTCACGATTGCTTCGTGCGGCGTGTAAACGTCGTACCGACGTATAGCACGTGGTAGTTTCCCGACGAAGGCCTCGGCAAAGAGAAAAGAAACATCTGTCGATCAAAACGTTTGTAAACGTGCACAATCTCAAGAATATGTCGCTGATGGTTCATTCCTACGAGACCGCTCGTGCGAGGAATGTCCGACGATGAAGTGATAATTCCCTTTCGGATCAGGAGTAAAAGAGTGATCGTAAAAAAGTGTCTCTAAGGATTTCCGCCGAAAGATACATCGCGGTAGTTTCTCTGATAGCCGCACAAAGTTCCGCGATAGACCTGGAAATCCGTCCACGACAGTAACTCGCACGAGCATTTTGTGAGGCCCCTCTCACTAAGTATGCGGCAACTCGGCCGAGTCCCTCTCTTATTCCCTCCCCGTCGGACGTGCTCCGTGATATATTAATTGACAATTGACGAGAGAAGAAGCTGCTCGTCTCGCTTCTGGAACCTCCGATCGACACGACAATGGCTGCGACCTTCGATCAGTATGACAAATCGAGGTACGTGCGGGAGAATTCCCATGTTTTGATTCATCGAGCGAGTGTCATGCTTGCATTAAGTATTATTGGCGTAATGGCGTTTGAAATTGCAATCGTGCAGGCCACTTAACATATCGCGGTTTTCCATTTAACGGCTCCCGCACAAAAACGATGCAATTATCGTCCCGATACATTCGTTCTCGGAGCACTGGATAAGTCTTCTTTAGTCCGTGCAATACGAGTAGCTTGCTTCGAAATATTAATCTCATCGTGGACGACGTGGAGTATAAATTTTATAATTTTTCGTGTGTTTCCTAGATATTTGTCAGATCAGTCTTATAGACATTTGTGTTATAACATTGAATGTTCTCACAATCAAGCACTAATTAAAAATAATGAAAATCTAAACGTTTTTAATCTCTTCCGTATATATTTGTCCTAAAAAGAAAAATAGAAAATTTTAATAATTTAAACAATTGTAAGTGAAAAAATTAATCGAGAAATGTTAAACACAAATCAGTGAAGATCATATTTGGTTAAAATGGAAATGGATATCTAGTAATATTTTTGCATGAATTATTAAACACCAATTTCTGCTTTGACCGAATATGATCTTTGCTTATCTTAATTATTTAGTTGCTTTGAATTTAATATTTAAAAACAGTAGTATTTACTACTTTATTTTTTACATTTTTTTTATGTTTGTTTATGAAATTATAATTTATCTCTTTTTTTATATGTTTAAATAAAATATAAGTTTCTCTGAAACTGTATTATAATTAATTATAATTGATTCTTTTCAGTTGGTACTTTGGTGCTATGTCACGACAGGATGCATCTGACTTATTGATGGGTGAAAAAGAAGGTGGTGTATTTTTAGTACGAGACAGCACCTCTATACATGGTGACTTTGTACTATGCGTAAGGGAGGACAGTAAAGTTAGCCACTATATCATTAATAAAATCCAACAAGGAGATCAAATTCGTTATCGGATTGGTGATCAGATGTTTCCGGATATTCCCAGTCTTCTCGCCTTTTATAAGCTTCACTACTTAGACACCACACCATTAATTAGGCCAGCGCCAAAGAAAACGCAGAGGGTAATTGCAAAATATGATTTTGAAGGAAATGATTCTGAGGACTTACCCTTTAGAAAAGGTATATATTGTCTTCTTTAATTCTGATTGATTTGTATCAGTTTATTTTTTATAATCTTATTAATGAGATACTTGTAACTTTAGGTGATATACTCACTGTAATATCGAAAGACGAAGAACAGTGGTGGACAGCTAGAAATAGTGTGGGCCAAACTGGTTCGATACCAGTGCCGTACGTTCAAAAGTATGACGATGATAGTCATATGATAATAGAAAATAATTCACGGCCTGAAAGTGGCGGCAGTTCCGGTTCTAATTCAAATTCAGGGCCTACATCACAGGTATCTCATACAGAAACAACGGGACAAACAACAGTAACGCGAAGATCAAACATTCAGAGAACACTGCCGGCCTTTGCCAAAGTGAAACAGGCAAGGGTGCCAAATGCCTATGATAAAACTGCGCTAAAATTAGAAGTAGGTGATATGATAAAAGTGACAAAGACTAATATCAATGGCCAGTGGGAAGGTGAATTGCACGGCAAGGTTGGACACTTCCCATTTACGCATGTGGAGTTTGTAGATAATGAGACTGGTGAAGACAATCAGGAGATTTAACAGAAATTCTCCGAGTGTGATGTGCACCACATGTGTGACAAAGGGAAGAAAGACATCTCCTATATTATCAAAATTTAGAGTTACTAATAACATCTATTATATGTGCCATTTCAAAGTACGTTTAGCCTGAATAACTGTACGTTCAATTGCTGGATATAACATATTATAAGAATGAACGCCAGATTTTTGTGCAATATGTCTTAAGAAATGTTTAGAGGTTTATGTTAATATCTCTACAGTATGTTAATTTAGTCACATGTTAATTCATCAGTTTATATTATACATTGCTAATTGCCCAAAGCACAAGCATAATTTTATAAAGTTGTTAGATACATATTACAATATATATTAATCTCGTATATACGATTTTATTTTATTAAAAATTAAAATGCCATGTTTCAGTGAAATAATGAACAAACAGATTTTTGTAAAAAAAAAAACAAATACAGTATTTATAAAATGTATACTCTAATGGTTTTAATTTATAGTTATATATATATATATATATGTGTGTGTGTGTAGCTATTTGTTACATATATATTATTCTACATACATATTTTTATATAGATATTATAATATAGTGCACTAGTTTAACATTCACGTATGTATAAGTTTTTATTGTTTATTTAGAAATTTATTATAGTGCTCGATACGCGAATAGTTCGGCACATGCACAGTTCTTCATCTATGCTCAACAATCTTTCATCATGGATTTGTTGATTTTATAAAAGATTTATATTATTGATAAACGTAATTTATCACTTTTATTTATGAATATTACAATGAAAAAAAGCTTGTATGCGTTCCTTAAAATATTTTATTAGCAAATATTACACTTGTATTCCTGAAGTTATGGAATAGTATATTCTACATTGAATGTACGATAATATCTTCTAGTCAAAGTGACTATGATAAAAGCATACTGTTTATGTACTCGCTTGACATTGTTTCATTTTATTATTATTAACACTTCCGAAAAAAATAACCGAAATATCATAATATTTCGAAAAAAGTACAGTTCTGCAGGCTACGCAATCTAGATATGGTACATACAATATCTGTTAGCCATAGGTTGTGCCACCAATTGGAGCAACACACTGTGCTAGAAAGTTGTATTTATAAATAATGATGGAAAGGTTAATTGTATCAAAAAGTTGATCATAGTTATGCAGGATACTT